TTTTATCTTTGGAACATCGATCAGGTACACCGTGGTAGACCTCATGAGTAGAATTGATTTATGAATAGGAAGGTGCTGTCAGGTCCTGGCTACAAGATACTGGAAACCGCAGGTCTTCATCTTATTCCGTTAAAAATTGAATAAAAAAATGACCACGGCCACTGTTCAGTTGGACAGATCATATATATATAGAATATATATTACATCATACATATATATATAACATCCCTTGACCCTTTTTATCTCTTAGTCAGTATATTCTTGACATGTATTCATTTCTATATTCAAACTTTCATTGGAAAATAATCATGCATAAGTTTATAACTAAAGTTTTACTGAAAAGGATACTTTTCTGAGTATGGTGAGTTTGAGGTTCAGGCCTCTTGTTGGGTCTATAAATTCAGAATAATGACACCAATCTAAAATCACAATATCTTATCCCATAGAGGCGAGTATAATGAACAACTTTTCATGAACAGAATACTTTTGGAATGTTTCATTGAGGAGGCATGTTGCGCAAGAAATACTTTTTGCACTAGGTGCAAAATAGCTGGGAAAATCGACTTTTGGTAATTTCGAAAGTTTCATAGCTCCACTAAAGCTTATCCAACCCGCGAGTTACGCAATCCTAGATCCTTGGAGGTGTTCTCTACAAACTGACAAAACTTGAGGGTATGTTTAGAGGGACCCTCCTCCCCTTAAGACTATTGTTAGTAGAAAAAATAGAAGTTGAACTTTGGTTTTAGAGTAATCTTTGTTTAAGTTGTATCAGCTTTTTGTGACATACTCGACATCGATTTTGAAAGCGGTTTTTTTCAAAACAAACCACAAATTCTTGATCTATTTTTCTCTGATGAACTTGTTTTATTCGAGAAACATTTTGCAGAGATGCTATATTAATGCAGTTTTTAGCGTAGATCATGAGCAAAATACTGTGTCGAGCATATTATTAAGAAACAATGATATACTATTTTCTGCTTTTCTCGTTTTGTTAGACGATAATTCAAAAATCAAGTATTCGTTCTGTAAGATTTCCTCGTGAAATTACTCTCATATCCACATCAAGTAGCTCCTTAACATCTCCCTTGTCATCATCTCAAACATCCTCGTCGTCATCATCCGTAACAATCATATTAGAAGTAATAAATAAAAATAAAATTAAAAAATTCGTATCACCAAAGCCGAAAGTGAAATATAGAAAGCGAACAACAAGAATGCCACTAGCCGTTCGATATCATAGTGATTCTGAAAGCATTTTGAGTCTGGGAAAATGTTCAAAAAAAATGAATAAATATGTTCGAAAATATCACTCAATAAAGAAATTTTCTCTCCAAAAACGAGAGAGAACATTATACGATGAGAGTTTATTGGATGAAAATATTTATATTTCAAATTATAATGATGATAAACACAGTAAAACAGATTTTTGCTTACAAAAGTTTCTATTAAATTATGACACTTTTGTTCACGTGGTTTCGTCTTCATCATCGAGTGTTAACGAAGATGGAAAGCAAAATAAAGAAAAGAATGTGGAGAAAATTGAAAGAAATATATCAGAATTTTTAAATATTGAAAATAGTACAGCTCAACCATTGAAAACAACATCGCTGTTAGAATTTTCAACAATAACAGATGAAAATTTATTAAAACAAAAAATAGTATGACCTTCATCTAGTGTTTTTCTCAACTAGAAAGCAAAACACTTTTATTATTTGTAGAATGATTATAATGGCAATCGATATCGTATTAAATCTCAACCAATAATATTCCAATCGTCGTTATTCGGAAGCTATTGTCCGTATGCATTTTAGGTTTTTTTCATATAACACAGTGCGTCCATTTTTGTTCAAAAAAGTTTATGTCGATTTTAGTGATCATCGATTGATACCCAATGAAAAATCTGACGATATTGGGTCGTTATCTCTGCATGAACCGAACCTGATAAACAATTCATCAACAAATATAATTGGGATATATGATGAAAAACAGTTGTCTACAACTTCTTTCTCATCCACTGTAAAAAGTCCAGTGATAATTACCCCTAGTGAATTATCCCCATTGAATGCAAATCCTCATTGTTGGACTATTGCGTTCGATCAAGAATACGATGAAAAGGAAGAAGTATTTGATGAAAATTCAAAATCATATTCAATTGTGTGTAGTTCATCCAATGAGGGAAAAGTAGATTTTATCACACCATCCAATGATAGGAACATTGACAATGCTGATCTACTTCTGCCATTTCAAACTATAGACACTGAACTAAGATTATTTGTCGATAATACAACTTCCTTTGTGAATGATAATGACTTACTATCACATAAAAAAACATTTGATAGAACAAATACTGATCGAACGGTGGATGATGAATTAAATCTAGTTGGAAGTCGACGACAAAACTCAGATCTTGATCTAACATCTATATTAACAATAGCTGAAGATTTAAATATTATTCTTAACGAGTCAGATGAGACTGTTGCTGCTGTGAAACAAGAAAATTGTACGTCCTGCAATAAAAATTCTGAACTGAAGAAAAAGCAACATTCTGGATTCAAGCATGCCTCAAGATTTTATTATTTCTTGCTGAAAAACGTCAGCAAAAAACACAAGACATTTATCGATTTGTTAAACAGTGACGTAAGAAAGAGAAGTAATGTCACCTCTTGCTCTATCTTGCTGATGTTTCTCAGCAAGAAATAATAAAATCTTGAGGCATGCTTGAATCCAGAATGTTGTTTTTTCTTCAGTTCAGAACTTTCATTTGGTTAAAATACAAAAAATCAGATTAAAATATCAGTATTTTTTACTTCTGTTTTCTCAGCTGAAAAAGACTCAAAACAACAGTCGTCAATTGAAGAAATTATTCGTTCATTATCCGATGAACAGCTATTATCACCGACGCAATCTACAATAGAATTTTGTTCTGATGTTCAAAAACATCAGCCTCGTAAGTGTTGCACGAAATCAATAGCTATGGCAAAGGAAAACATAGTCTGTTAAAAAAAAACAGAATACTTTAAATATTTATGAACAACTGATTCGATGTAAACGAGCTATTTGAACTTAAACGAAGCTTTTTTATAATTTTTAATAATCTTCAATTTTTGGAATACAAAACAAATTTTGGTTTATTTTATAGTTGATGACGGTTACAGTCATCAAGTGTGGGACAATATTTTTGTAAATCCTGTCGTTGAAGTACAAATGGATCCCTGTCGTTGTGAAAAAGTCAGTAGAAAAATACAAACGGATTTTGTGTCATTTTATTCAACAACTCGTATACATAATGAAAGACAAGTACGTTTTACTCAAAGTCAATCAACATGGAATACAAATCTTGATATGAATGTATTACGCTCAGCTAATAGTGATTTATTATGCTACATATTTTTACCAGAAAAAGAGAGATTGGCAAAAAAATACTCATATTGTAATCTTGCCACTAGCAGATCATCATATATCACAGACAAGAAAACAAATGACTCATCATCAACTACATCATCGATGACAAACATTAACAACCATCAAGAAACAACTCATTCAAACAATAGTAAGATTTTCGAAAAAGTGTTTTTTTATTCATAATGGCTATTGAGATTCTTCTGATTCTATTAGAACAAGACATATAATACCTACAACTATAAGATCAAAAAAATGTATATACTTAAGATTCTGGAAGTAATCTGAACTTAATAAAGTAGAAAAATCATAAGGGTACATCTCACTCTTTTTTCGACCAAGGTGGAAACAAATGTTTGATCCAGCTCAATTTTTTATCATAGATACTTAAAATTCTATCTTATTCTGATTTTTTCAAAGAAGATACTTTTCTGCTGAATATCCTATCTAAAAAATCGGTTTTTGATATTACCGGATGGGCCAGAATAAATGAGGGTCTCAGTATTTCGCTTATAACTTGATTTGAATTTGTTTCCGAGACTCGATGTTTTTTTAAAAGATGCGCTGCGAAATACTCTACAAAATCATACCTAAACTATAATTTCAGAACTTCAATCAAGAAAACTAAGCCAATTAGATGAAAGTCGATAAAAACGAAAACTTGCCAAACTCAACATTTTTTTCGACTTGAATTTTTTCTTCTGCTACTATTTCCGCTAAAAAGTGTAGCAAAAGTGAGAACTTAGTTTATGTTTGGTACTTTCAAATGTGCTTTTTCTCGTGGTCTGTAAAAAGCTTTTTTTAGAGCAGATGATGTGCTGGAGAACGAAGTTACAAAAATACGTCAAAAGTTGACAACTTCATCGTTTCCAACAATGTGCACAAGCAAGACACGGAAAACATGATTGAAATTTTAGTTTTGCAGTTAGATAGAGAAGAACAATCATTTCTGATCGAAACAAAACAAACCCGATCGAAAAAGCTTTTATTTTGATAGAGTTATGGGCCTTTTACTCAAAGCACTACTATACTCAAAATTTAAAAAACGATTGAAAAAAATGCATGACAACCGACAGAAAAACTATTATTTCACCGTAACTTTTGATGTGAAAAAGTTTGAAGTGTAGCTGAAAGATAGAGCGAAGTCAGAGCTACAAAATGGCTAATTCGGTTTTTCTTACTTTCAAAACATTAACACAAGAAATCATTTTTGAGTTTTGAAGGTTTTCATTTTTTTTGACTTTCATCTAATTGTCTTAATTTTCTTGATTGAAGTTCTGAAATTACAGTTTAGGTATGATTTTGTAGAGTATTTCGCAGCGCATCTTTTAAAAAACCATTGAGTCTCGGAAACAAATCCAAACCAAGTTGTAAGCAAAATACAGGGAGGGTCATTCTTTATGACCCACCCGGTAGAAGGCTGTCTCACGACAAGAGTTGAAGCTGAAACCACTTCAAAAAATTTTGAATTTGAGATAGTGTGCCCGTATAGATTTCTAATAGAAACTGAACTATCGGTGGTAAAAAATTCAAGTTTTCGTCTGCTTGAGCAAAAACTTCAGAAAATTCATAAATGTAGAAAGGGTCATAAATGCTAGAAATGATCTTATTTTGTAGCCCAAACTTTTCTCTCAATTAGACTATGTACACCTCAAAATAAAAAATTCTGTCAAAAGCGAGAGAAGATGTGTATTCTTAAACTTCTCCAGTGTTTTAGAGGAAGCCAACTTATCGAATTTGTTTACCCTCGAAGTCAAACCATCTGCTAGTCTCTGTGGAATCGAACTCTCTCATAACAATAAACCAAAAACAAGTTTATATTCGCAGTTCAATTGTGATGTATGTTTTAAAAATTCGATGTTATTAAATAGTCATTTTGGAACTGTATTAGAACTTTATTCAGTTTTATGTTCTACATTAGTCAGTTCAGTTGATTTGAAATATTTTCAAACGATTGATCTTCATTCACCAATAGAAAAATGGAAAATTATTAATGAATTATTTGTTAAAATTTGTAAAATTTGTTCAAAATTAATTGGTAATCAGCATAGAAATCCCTCAGTATTAAAAAAATTGATTAAAAAAGATCAACTAAAAAATCACACCCAATCGTTGACAGTGAGAAGAGTAGAGCATTTAGAAAAGTTGTTATTAAATCATAACAAACAGCAAGAAGAATACACTGATGATTCATCAGGTTTCGATTGTTCACAATCACTAACAGATGAACCTCACTTAACTAAGAATAGTAACGAGTGTGTAACGGATCAATCAGACTTGTTAGAAATCTCATAGACAACAGAAATGAGATGATACATTTATTCAAAAGAAAATCGTAACCCAAAACAGACCTACAAAACTCTATTTTGACTAGTATGTCGGCCACATCTCATGAACAATGGTACGTAGGTTAAATCAATAAAATATTTCGTCACCATACGTTGACATGATTAACATCTTTTGAAATTTTTGACAAGAATCGACTCATGATTAATGATAGATTTTTGACGCGAGGAGTCTGTTGTTTTCTCGTGTACAATCACATAAGTAAAATCTCAATAAATCTAATAGCACTTGTCTTAACACATAGCGACTTTATCCGATGGTGTCATCGATACTGATATACTACGCTCAGCTTAGTTTTTTCACATTCTGATTGCCAATGTTTTAAGACCTATGTATATAGTGATAAATTCTGATGAGCAATATTATACAGAGAACAAAGTAACGCTTTGTTTTTCAGTAATTATGAGACAAGCTTGCAAATATTCATCAGACTATTTTGTCAATATTCAACTAAAGAAGAATACTGAGAAGGGAAACCAAATGAACAATAAGTAATGTAGGTGGGTAGATACACATAAAATGGCCTTTAAAACAATAAAAATGTCATGTGTACAAAATTTCTCATTATAATTGTGGGATGTATTTCTAACATAAACATATGAGAAAAAAAAATGTTTGTTAAGCCTCTTGCGATTTATCATTTTATAAAGAAGAAAAAGACCACTTGCCTCTCATTATACATTATTGCGAACAGTTGTAAAAGCAACTTAACTAAAAATAATGTGGTTCAAAGCATCTATAAGTAAGTTTCGATGATTCTTAAATTATTCTTCTTGCTCACATAAATAACTATCTTTTAATTTTCTGGTATTTTTCTTTAGTATGTGCTGTGTTTGTTGGTACTGTGATGAGCAGAATGCTTATAGTTCACCAGAATGAAACAGAACAATGTGAAAAGAGGGAAAATCCCTACTTTATTTCACATAAAACCGATTGTAGTAAATTTTATGCATGTGTGAAAGGAAAATTATTTGTTTTACCATGCCCAGTTGGCTATAGATTTGATTCTGTATCGGGTCATTGTTCTAATAACAAAAGTGCCGTTGTTTGGCAAATGGCTAAATGTAATCATGATAAGATTGGACAGTTGAACAAGACTACAATTTCTCAAACAACTCAAAGTAAGGTCGTCATACTGATCATTATTTGTAACAAGTTTGAAAATTTTTATTTTTTCAGCGCTCACCACTCACCTACTACCGGCAACAACAACGACAAGCCCAAAAGTTCTTGAATTACAAAGTCATGAATCCAATTGTGGCTGGTATTACATTGTGAGACCATCTGGTGATCGGGTTCTAAATAGTTGTCCAATGCCATTACTATTTGATGAATATTTGTTAGAATGTAAACCTTACAAACAAGTCAAATGTAAAAAACGATTTGAACCAAAAGATGCATGTAAGTATGATGTTCTCATTCGATAGTGTTGAACGAGAAAACTAAAATGGTAAAGCATGAATCGGTTAAGCTAAATCTTAGACTTAAGCGCATTTCACTGATACTTTTCTCGCTAGATATATCGAAAAGATTTTATCTTAACACAGGAATAAGGTTTCTAGTAAACCGAGAGGTTTTCACTATTGAAGGACAAAAAAATTGTATAAAGTTTGAAAGACTGAAAAAACGAAGGAGTATGTGCAGATACGACAAGTGTATGTGAGATGGGTATTCCAGTTGCTTTTCTGAAAATCATATGACAAAACGTTTTCAAAATCCTTTCCACTGTTCAACCAGTTTTTGGTGTTTTTTCGACTTGATACTATGACTTGAGCTAAGATACGTTAATGGCTGATAAAAAACTTTCGCACAAGTATTTTTGGTCAATTTTTCGAGGTTCCTTGCTTTTCAAATCTCTCGGTTTACCAGAAAGTTAACTGTTGTATTTTCGTTTTCTCGTTCAATGCTGTGTTATATAAACTTTGAACTATTTTATTATATAGGTGATTATCGAATTCGTTCTGGAGCTCATGCGTATCCATGTAACTATTTGCCAAGTTGTAGAAATAAAACGGATGGTTTCTATCCCGATCGTTTGAGAGATTGTCGAGTGTATTTTCGATGTTTTGAAGAACGTTCATCAGAGTCATGGTCGTGCTCGCAGAAGCAGCCACCATTTGGTGAACGTTTTAGTATTGAACATCAAAAATGTATGCCAGCAAACGATGTTGATTGTCAAGAAAGTCCAATACCATTTTTTTGAAATAAAAACTTTTTTTTACATAAAATTTAATTTTAAAAAACTGTTACTTTTAAATCTGTTCTGAGAATAGTTTGATAAGATTATGATCAAAGTTTGAATAAAAATCAAAGCTTCAACTGATTTTTTTCTATAGAACCTTCCTCAGACAGACAAAACTTTTTATAAGATCCTATTCGTGACTAATTCCAAGAGTTTCGAGTGTTATCTCTGACTAGATAGGAAAAAAGGAACTAGTTTCTGACTAGTTCGTTATAAATTTGTCAATTTTTTTTCGGAAACTAACTAGTTCTTAAATAGCACACAGATAAACCAAAGACTAGTCAAAAGGACAACTAATCCATGACTACGGCCACTCTTTGGTACTTGAACTAGTTAGGACTAAAGCAGAGTTGGGCAACTCGGGAAAAGAAAAAAACGGCGCCTATTCCATTATGTATTGGGAATTGTTGAATGACCGATAAGAACACAGTAGAAGATGACTCATACTTCTTGCATCAAATTTTGTTTGTATCCACATCGAAAAATAGATTAAAATAAAGTGACTAAACAGGAAATTTGCCTTATGTCATCAAACCCCGCCGTTGCTTCGTTCTCCACAATAACAACGATTCAAAAGACCACAAATATTCCAGAAACAGCCCGTGATAAATTTTTTACAAATGGTGAAAAAGGGCGGTCAGCCAAATGTGTATTATGTGGAGAAACAGTAAAGGGCAATTTGGGTGTTACGTCTAACTATAGTCGTCATGTGGAAAAAGAACACGGTATAGAATTTCAGCTGTCGAACTAAACTAATAAAATCTTATTCTAGCTGGTAAGGTAGAATTAAACTGACAGGAGGTGAGAGTTGACCTCCCTGGTTTGTGAGTTGAGCCGATACTTTTTTTAACTGTCTGTGAGTTGAGTTGGAATTTAGTTAGTAAAGCCAAAAGCATTTTTATAAGTCCGTTTAGCCGTTTTTAGCTATTACGGATCTTTTCATGACTACTATTTCTTCTCTGTTTCCTCAAATAGCGTTAATTAATAACTGATGGCAGGTGATTATAAAGAAAAATAATTTTGAAATCATCTGAGAAATTATGGGTTGCGGAACGATGCGCACGAACAATGTTGCACACGGATTCATGCGCACGGGTACCTTACGCACGAGGAATGTTCCGCACAGGAATCTTACGCACTAGGTTGTTAAGCACGGACACTTGCGCACGTAACACATAATGAGACAGAAAATCAAACTGATGATGTTGTCATCACACCTTTTTTTTTAACTTAAAGTTTTTAAAGAACATAATTAATTATTGTGAATAAACTAACTAAATGTTGATGACGTTTATTTAAGAGAAATATTATGAGCTAGATTATTGATTTGATCAATTATATCTGTATTCTTACATAATATAAGAAATATTCGAGGCTTCTTAACAGAGATCACTTTTTTGATAAAATGTGTAACATAAAAATTAACATCAAAGAAACATCACAGGGCGGGAAGTGTAGAACGAGAGTGCGTGGAAAAATAGTGGTCTCAATTAAGAAAGAGCTCAAATATTAAATATAAAGGAGGGGGTCGCATAAGGTTGAATCGACCCACCTCATTTTTGGTCTAAAAACGGTTCTATAAATAGTAGAAAAGTATTATCAATCGATTTTAAGTAATTTCGCGTACTTTTGGTAACTTAAACCTGAGTAATTCTTCGCCAATAGGGTGCCAATAGCTCATCCCTCAAAGATCAGCTATAGGTTACGTCAAATGTGTTTTTCTCATGTTTCTTTCACGTAGATGACAAAGTAAATTAAGGCAAAGAAAATTATCCAGTCTCATAAATCACATATTTATGAAACGTTTTACAAGTTTCATAAAATTTCTCATTTTTATGTAACTTCTAGGTTAAAAAATTCAACATCCAAGTTTCCTAAATTTTATCAAACTTTTTACAAGTTTCATAAATGTGTGATTTATGTGGTTCAAGTTCCATTAATTAGTACCTTAATTAATTTTTATGTCACATAGGGACATATAGCATTATATAATTGGTATATATCACATAGAGACGTGTGTTGGTGGTGTTTTAATTGAAAATAATGATTTATTTAATTAAAAACAGTATCGATGTGTCTGTAGGTGCTATGTGAGGCTCGTAGAGACACGGTGACTCAACCAAATAGAGGTACTAATATCTCATTAAGATAGGGATGAGTTACTTAGGGACACATTAAAAATATATGCCAGCAAACGAAATATGGAATTTTATTCTAAAACTGTATATACAGGTAGCGTGAGTGTGTGTGAGTTTATCACTTTAAATTGTAACTTTTCTTGAGAAACACTTATTTATCAGCACATTTACCCCTAGATTCATTCATCACTAATTGAGATGTTAGTACTAGCGCCTTTTACTTAGAAATAATAAATTATGATCATCATTCCTACTGTTCAACATATTTCACTATGAGACTTATACTAATATACTACTGTAACAACCCTCTTAGAGACATATGCAGTTACCTTAATTCATCAATTAAACCAATTGAATTAACAACCATAGGTGTCTAAGAGACATGTAATAATTAATTAAGAACATTTTTCTCGGAGAGCCATGTTAAACTTTTTATGACACTTTTTACAAGTTTCATAAATGTGTGATTTATGAAACTGGATTTACGAAGACAGGATATCCCATCCGAGGTCATCTAAGACCAGTCTTGGGATCCTTGGTAAAACTGATACCCCGCCTAAAACTACAGATTCTGAACCTATTGATCAAGATATTAAACACAGCTTACTTTGTAGAAAATTCGACAAGCTTTAAAATGATGTATGACACAAAATCTACTTGTTTCTTTACTAGTGTAAGAAATAGTCAAAACTGAAAGTATATCGCATTTTTCCCTACTCGATTTACTTTTCTGGTCTATTTTCTAGGACTGGTCCCATTGATCTTGAAATTCTGAACTTGCTAGTTTGTAGCAAATTTCATAAGCGCTAAAATGATATATAATAGAAAAATGTATATTTCCTTGTTTGAGAGAAAAAAGGGCTACAACAGCGACGACTGTCTACTATATTGTATACGTAGGATTGTTCTAAGCGCCCTACTGCTATCAAAGCACTGCTGTTAACTCTTATGTCACACATATTCTGTAGGGAATTTTAGGGTCTAGCCAATGATATATTTACTTTGTCATCTACGTGAAAGAAAGGATAGGTAGCGTTTATCGTCACATCTGTGTGAGTATAAAACAATAAGCAAACATACATACATCTCATTCCCCTTTCCACAAGCTAAGTGCTATTAAACAAAAACTGTTCAAGCTTTTGGCTAAAAGTCTTAAGTGATGAAATGTGAAAGATCAAGTCTGAAAGTAATTTCATGCTATTTTTTGTTGCTTTTCGAATCAAAAACCGTTTTTTTCCAAAATTGATGTTTTGTACGATAAAAAATTACCAATTATTGACAATTTCTCTGCCCGAATCTTCTATTTTTTTGAATGAAAAACGAGAAAATACTGTTTTATTATTTTCCAGAAAAAGACTTTTCTACTCTTCTTCTGTATGAGAAACGTTTGAAACGCAGTTTTCAGCAAAATGAGTGCAGAAAGAAATGAAATATTATCACGTATTCTTTATACAGAAAGTTAGATGTCATGCTTAGTTCAACAGTTCAAGATATATTTTTTATGAACTATCACCGATTGTATGAATTGTCGTATGTAGTATGTAAATGACGATAAGTGTAATATATGCGCCTTTCATTGATATTATTAACATTTATTAACATTTATGAAGGTGAGAGAATATGCGCGTCATATCAATGTTTAATTATTGGTTTATAATAGATTATTCAATAAATCGAATATTTCTTACGTCAAAATGATAATTTAGATCAAGATATAATGTTTTTATGTGGTAATCAAACGCATTTAGTACCAACATGAAAATAAATATCATTTTATTACTTATAAAAATCACTTATTACATTTAGAGGATCGTTGTCGCTTCTTTACTGTTATATATTTCAATTTTTTTTTCTTGATATAAATCTCTTCCTCTCGTTCATTAGTTAAGTGCTAACATCTTAGTTTAATGTTAAGTGCGTGTAAGTAATTACTACACTCTAGTCTCTAGTTTATTCACCAGTTATGCTCATGATCTTAATTTGTATTTTTTTTCCATTTTTTTTAACTATCAACATCAAATATTGATGAGTTGTCGGAGCAAGAATGTTAAAGTTAAACAAATCATTTCTTATATATTTCTAGTTTCGAAATTCAAATATTTCTTCAATCATTTTATTAGCAAAGCAGAAGTAGAAACATTATCATATACTTCAATCTCGTGATTATTTAATTAACTGAATAGAAAAAGAAAATTTAAAATATTTTTATTCTGAGAAAAACTTTGCATACATTCGACAACAAAAAACTACATTTGTGTAGAAAAGGTTGTTGTTATATTTTCCAGTTACCGTTGATTCTTCTTGTTTTTCTATTCTTTGTTTCACTTTGTAAAGAGAAGTGAGTGTCATCATCACGGTGTGTGTGTTTTACTATACTTGTTTCAGATAAGCAAGTTAAGGGATAAGAAATTTATCAGTTCAAATGTATTATTTTTGTTTCATAGATAAAACTTGATAGATGAAGATAGATTTAAGATTCATGAAGATAATTCATTCTCGGGCATACTGTTTAAAAGTAAAGAAGAGCATTTGTGTGAAATTTGAAACATTCTTTTCTGAAAAATTTCAAGACACTATTCTGGCGTACAACCAGGCGTGAAGAGCATTAAATACATGTAATGACGTTTGTAATGACGTCTCTTTGTGTTATACATGTGTAAAATAGAGCTATATGGCACATTAACAGAGCTATAGCAAATAATTAATGTTAACATGACTTGTCCCCTACGGTTTTAATGGGAAAAAAGTGAATAACAAACAAAGAGCAAGAAATGTAGTAGTGACGATGGTGAGATTATCTGTGACGTCATGTATGTAGGACAGGAAATTCTACAAAGAAAGAAGAACATCACTTAATAAATTTCATAATTGAATCTAAATCTATTTGCCTTAAGAGAAGAAAATCAAGAAAGAGGGCACTACATGAACCTAAAATAGAATACAGTGCATGTATCAGAATAGAGAAAAATGTGTTTTGATCACCAAAAAAGTGACTATTGATCACCAAATTTGTTAGTAGTGAACTGATCATCAAAAAATAAGATTTTTGATCACCAAATCAATTAAAGAAAATATATACAAGAAGAAGTATTAATAGAAATATGAAAGATATATGAAATATGTCAGTAGCTAATGGTTTTTGAAATTCTATTGCCAACGGTTAAGTTTTTTTGAACTTTTATTGGTTTTGTCAACTCACAAAAGCTATAAATAACTGCCCTAAACTACAGACGATACCATCAAAAAAATATCGAAGCAAGAATGGAAGAATGGAAAGTATTACACACAGCTACATTGTCCGATGAAGCGAAAGAATACGCAAAATTACAATTTAACGTTTGCCAATATCGTTAATCAGATTTCAAAAACCATAAAAAAAAAAACAATAAAATTTCGAAAAACTTAACCATTGGCAATAGAATTTCAAAAACCATCAGCTGTTGACATATTTCTATTCATACTTCTTGTATATATATTTTCTTTCTATTCTTTTTCTTGTCTCTCCACTAATAACGCTGAAACTAAACTAATTAATCTACTATTAAATTGCTATATATTCTTCTTGTATATCTATATTTTCTTTAATTGATTTGGTGATCAAAAATCACTTTTT